AGCGCTTTTAGACGTCTCGAAGACATAATGAGGCAATAAATCAAATGCAAGGATTATGATCATTATTAATTAAACTGGTTTTATTTATAAACATTGTAACCAACTGCCTCCTGAACCCTTTTTAAGGACAACTGAGCTGTTTTTTTGTCCCGTGCGCTTAATGCAATTCCATTCAGTCATGCAGATAACCCTTGAATCAAATTAGTTTGATCCACAAGCAATCAAAAGTCTTTTTCTTTAATGCTCCTGCATTACAATAACGCAAAGACTTTGTCTCCATTCACAAACAGCAAAGAGCTACTAGCTTCAAACTTCAGGCAAGTGAGGAATTTCAGAAGTACGTTAGTGTTAATTAAATTAAATATACCACTGAATTTTGGTGCAATTAAATACATAAGTGATAACCATTAACAAGTAACAAGTGCATAAACAGTTCACAATTAGAGAACTATGCGAAAAGGAGAAATAAAAAAAGGGAGTCAGGGGGGAAAGGTGTAAGATGGGACTACATGGAGAGCTCAGTTAGAGAGCCAACACAATAGGCCAAATGGCTTCTTTCCACACTGTTAATTTCTATGGGTGTGACTATTTTGAGTCCTGTAGCTCAGTGGTTAGAGCACTCGCCTCGCAAGGGAGAGATCTGGGTTCTATTCCCGGCAGGTCGATATGTTGGGCAAGTTTCCTTACTCCACACACGTCTGTTTGCTTAGCAATAAGTAAGAACCGAGTTGTTAGTCAATTGGCGGATCACTTTGCCGGGGATAATAATCATTCAAAAAAAAAATAATAATTTGGTCACTTCAATCCACGACTGTTTGTGGTCGGAACCTGCTGTGCGCAATTGGCTGCCCTGTTTTGACCACAAATATAGTCAATTCACTTTACAGTATATTCTGTGAAGGACTGTGAGACGACTCGAAGACCTGAAAAGCGCTATATCAAACACAAGCATTAATTTTATTATTATTAATAATAAAGCTCAGAACTGCTGCTTTCTCTGTTTCTCTCGCTGTCTTGTCCTCTGTCTGTTTGTCTTTCTTTCTCTCTCTGATATCTCGTCAGAATCCCATATTCTAGTTTTGCCCACAAAATGCACAGGTATCCCACTTTATCCTGCAAGCGCTTTGAAACATGTCAATGATGTGATAAGGCGCTGTATCAAATGCAAGGATTATTATTATTATTATTATGTCAAACATAACTGGCTCCGTCTCCCTTTAAGGTAGAACATACAATTCCAAAACGATTCCAGATTTCTTCTGCTGTTTTGTTTGCTATTTGCTGGTTCTCCCTTAATCCTCCCCAGAGCGTTGCAGGCTCCACCATTCGCATTCCTCAAGCCACAGGCAGCTCACTCTCGGTATTGTTATTATTTCGGGCACATTAATGAGTTGATCTGTTTCAGTTCAATCGCAGATCAGTCAACAAGCAGAAACATAGCCACTTTGCGCTGGTGACTATACTGTCAGAAGCATTTAAATACTGAAAATACAACTAGCTCACATGAGGAATTCATTTGCTCACTCTACTGACACACACGACAGAGCGGGAGAGCAGGTGTCAGAGTGGCGAAGTCGGTAGCGTTCAAGATCCATGTCACGGACTTTGAGCTCACAGTCTAGGCTGACACTAGCTTCACAGTCTAGTGCTGCAGAGGGGGCAGAGAGCACAGCACTGGCGGAAGTGACGTCCTCCAGAGGAAACAGTTAAACCCGGTAAAGTGGATGTTAATCGTTTGAAGAGAAGAGAAATGCTTCCTGTGTCCAGGATTGCCATCCTCCAACCTAAAATGGTTGTTTGATTCATAGCTGTTTGTGAGACATTGCATATCCGCATCTGTCAACAAATACACACTCACGACTCAACAGTTTTGAGTTACCGTGTCAAATACAAAGATTATTATTGATAATAATATTAATCCTTACATTTGCTATCGCGTCTTTCACATCAAGAGCGCCTCAAAGCACTTGCCAGGGTTGCCTAAAAAGTGTAGTAACTGTATTTGCAGCTGAACTCAGCAGTCAATTCTGTGAAGCATTTTGAGATGTTCTCAATGTGATAAGAGTCGTGTCAAATGCAAGGATTGTGAAGCAATTTTACCTTCTGTGGTGCATCTGTGCCGTCTGCTGGCAGAGAAACAACACTGCACCAAGAAACAATAACATATTCAATACCAGAAAAGGGCAACCACATTATATACAACCAGGAGTCTGGGTCCAATATCTCAGACACTGAATTATAACGAAGCACAAATAGCCAACTTCCAGGTTATCATGCTGCTCTTGATGCCATATCTGCAGCTGAGATTAATAACAATAATTATCCTTGCATTTGACACAGCGCCTTTTATGTCAGGTGGACGTCTCAAAGTGTTTCACAGGATAATAGTATCAGTTAGTCAATTGCAAATTGCTTTCCAGGGGAAAATATCCACTTCAAAAATAATAATAATTTGGTCACTCAATCCACTGTTTATGGGACAATGCTGTGTGCAATTGGCTGCTGCTTTGTACCCACAAAATACAGTCACTCCACTTTAGCATATATACGGTGATGCACTTTGAAATGTCTCGACAACATGGAGAAATATCAATTTCAAGGATTAATATTATTAGGATTATGTATGCCAGATGGAAATTGCCCTCTACCTGGAATTGGATGCACATTCCCTGAAGAGACGTACCCTGATTTCCTAATTCCAGAGAGCAATAGGCACAGACCCAAAGCTTGAGGACCCCAGAGTGTGTGTTGGGGTAGCTGCTGGCATTTCACCAGCTAAAACCAGCATAGCACTCTCGCCTCTAGGTCAGCAGATTAGGGGTTCAAGCCTCATGATGGGACTTTGTGCTCACAGTGTGGACTCCAGTGCAATGCCGGAGGAGCCCTTCATTGTTGGCCGAGCCGTCCTTTGGAAGAGACATTAAACCAAGGTTCCGGCTGCCGGTTCAGGCGGACGTTAAAGATCCTGTGGCACTATTGAAAAAGAGGGCAGGGTAAATTACTCGTTCTTTGTTTTTATTGCAGGCATTTAACAACCACACCACTTTGAGTGTTCTGCAGTACAAAGGACAATACATAAGTTGAATGATATAAACAAGTCTATCTGTAACTGAATGTATGGGTAACAATTTCCATTAAAGATTGATTGATAGGTTCAATACCACTGTATGAATAGCTTGTGCACTTCAAATCATTCACAAACCACAGCAATGTGATTTTGGAAAGGCACAAAGAACACATGTATCTAACATTCGCCCACAAAATACTGTCAATCCGCTTTACAGCATATCTTGTGAAGCGCTTTGAGACGTTTCAACAAAGTGAGAAGGTGCTACATCAAATGCAAGGATTATTATTTATTAACATCAAGAAAATGAGCAGAAGAAGTAATCTCTGACAGCTCACACGTCTTAAAAAGTCACGTTCTGAGCAGAACTGGAGTCAGGACCTTCACTAGTAAGGGCCAGGTCAAGGCCGGAAGTAAAAGGAGCAAATCCCACATACATTATGTTCTGTAAATTAGTAACAGGCAAACTTATTTGGGAAGTCAACATAAACAGCATTGAAAAATTCCCCCCACAAAAAAATAAATTGGTCATTAATGGGGCATTCCTGTGTGTAAATTGGCTGCCACGTTCGCCTACAAAACCCAGTCCCTACACTTTACAGTACATCCTGTGAAGCTTTTGTGAGATGTTCTGATATAAAAGGCAACTTATCAAATGTAAGAATCATTAGTTAAATCAATCTTGGCTGACATTAACCCAAACGTCTCCCTCAAGGGAAGAGATATTCATCAACCAACTCCACCAGGTGATCTTGGGGAGGGAAGGGGAGCAGGCTGGGGGCGGGGGGAGTGGGAGGCAAGAAAAATATTCATGTCAGGAGCCCTGATCATCACTATTCAAATACAGCTGCTAATTGGGACAACCGAAAAGCCACACAGAATGTCATTGTAGGTGCATTGTTCCATTTCCCTATTAAACCAATTATGGAGACATGGAATTGGCTTGGCTGGAGAGAATCGGTGATGGGAGGGACAAAAGAATATAAAACCTGGATTGTATTCAGCAAGGCTTGTACACAGTACTGCTTTTTAAACTGAAAGTCCATTATAAAAGCATCATACTAAAGAGGCACAAATAGTAAGTTTAAAATCTGCTGTGCATAGATGGTTGCATTTTTGCAAACGATACAGAACATGATTCGGAACAATTCTTCATTTATGGTTGTACTAAAATCAGGCACTCCAACAAGCACAGTAATTTTAATGATGGGATGATTGCATGCAATTATAAGACAAAATAATATATTTTAGGAGTCATAGCACTAAATAAGCTTTCTGAATATTATGTGACCATTTTAGAGTTACTGTATATAAAAAGTTGACAAAAATGTACATTTATATAGCACCCTTCACACAGGACAGCATCGTGGATCGCTGCAGTGGCATGGTTGGACGCCGAGAGAGGTGACCGTAGGCGGGTTTCAAGAGGTAGGTCTTAAAGTGGGATTTAAAGATAAGGGGAGAGGGGGCGCAAGATGGCAGGGATTGAAGCAAGGACTCTAGAGAAATGGGTGGAGAGTGACAGTCTCCAGCTGCTGGCTCGATTCTATTTACAATATTTCAGCACCCAAACATTTCTGTAAATGAAGAAATGTTCAATCAGGAAAAAAATTACACATGCAGTCCCAATCAAACATGGACTTACCTAGACTCGTGCAAATGTTCCAGCCCACAGGCCAAAGGTTGGCCACCACTGCATCAGACGATAACATATTTATTTTCAGCTTTGAACATCTATTTTTTCCCCACTGTTGTGAACTCTTGCAATCAGACAAAACGCATGGGAAATATGCCTGAAATTTCCATATAGACCTGAATGCAAATTTGTGTGACACGGAGTGGTGTGGTGATGTGGGTGGTGGAGGGGAAGATAAAAAAAAAAGAAAATTCAGTACAACGCGTATTGTAGACCAGTGTGAAAAAAGGCAATGTCTGATTTGCATGGCGTTTATTCTTCCAAGTGCACGCTACAGTTAGATAAAACAGCAGTTATGGTACAGTTTTATGCATTAAAAAGTGGAAGTGTTATCTACCCCTCTTGAAATGGCAATTACAAATAAAATGAACAAGAACACAAACAGCGTGCAACTTAAAAAGCCATCCAGGCAGGTTTACATCAAGTGATACTGTCCCAGCACATTAAAACTCAACTTCAACATTCTATGGAATTTTTTTTAAAAAAGGATCAATTGCCTCAGTGGTGGCCTATCTACAGGTCTTTATGATCAAAAAATTTACATTACATACATCGAGCCACAAAAGTGGCCAAAAGCACTCCTGCAAAGAGCGATATCAGGGTCATTTTTTAAATAATTCTTGAAACGCAAATAACAAGTACAGACCTGTAAATGTCATTGTAAACTGAAAATCTCAGTGCAAGCTTTGCTGAAAGTCTGTCAAGACTTTTAGAAAACGCACAATTTTTTTTTAAAAATAAATTTGAGCATCAGATAACTCTCCCCCCCCCTCCCCCCAAAAATAAAGCTCTTACATTTTGACTAGATGGGAAAAGATCTACAATTGTTTTCATCTTTTGATCCATTGCCTGAGCTTACACTAGGCATTCTATCTCAACGCCCTACACAAGTGTGCTCTCTCAAACTTGGCTCACCACAAGTTTCCCATCATCCCAGTTTTCAAAACAGCCCAGTATCTGAGGAAAGACATTTAAATTAAAAGCCAACAATGAGGTGACAAATCGGTATATATAAATGTGTGTGCACGGTTCACGCACAATGCGGATTTTCAGCATTTTGGATAAATGCTAATAAAAATTTGGTTGATATTCAACAGACTTCTAGAGGTCAAGTTTCCCCATTAACCAGGATAAGCTATTCTGAGCTGCTCATGTTTTTACTTGCACCCAATTCTAGCTGTAAACCAGCAAGTTGGGATGGGGAGGGAGGAAATTGTCTGCCTTAGGATAGATACTTTCACAAAATAAAAAAGTGCGTTTTTTTGCAGTATACCCTTAACTGCTTCTGGTTAAAGAAAATCGAGCCACCTCCTAGGCTAACTGGGTCGGCTACTGGACCGAGGCCAGCACGACAACCGAGCAATGTGGTATTAGTTGAAAAGATAAATTGCACTTTGCATAGGTTTCCCAGTCAGAAAACAGGACAACTCAAAATAGTTGCCGAGGAGATGTATCCATATGTGCAAACGGGCAATCATTTCAGTTAGTGTACATCAGCGCTCCAGTCTGTGTGCAACTTGATGGGTATTGTAGTGACCACGAGCCATGGAATTTTATTCCAACACTAACTTAGAAAGCAAAGTTTACTCCATTACAGTAAACTGCAGAAATTCTTGCAGAAAGCCTCCTTACCACAGTGTATATTCAAAGGTTAAAACCACCCAGAAAACAGAGCAGAAAGCTGCAGCATCGTGCCCACAAATGCAAGCAAAGAGGCGGCACCAGCATTTTGTGAGACAGGATGACTTGTTTGAAAAGCAATTCCAAGTCTTAACTGTTTAACGTATAAAAAAAATTACCTCCTTTAAAATGGGCTATTAGACAATTTTGGAAGCGAGCAGACCACAAAGATCCGAGCAAGTCGCAATTTTCCATCCACTTTCAAAGCCTCTGTCCCAAGAACTAGCTGAATAATCAGACCAGCTACACTGTGTGAAGGAAATGTTAAACCAAGCATGATGCAATTTCGATTTTCCATATCCACTCCAGGTTTTGGTGTGCACATTTTATTTACATTATGTAGCACGGGTATCATACCAGCATCCAAATGCTTAGTATATACACATTACATATATTTATATATATTTATATATTTAAACATAACAAGAGTATTTTTTAGAATTTTTATGGGAAAGTCAATAGTAATGTTGTAATTTTTTGCAACACTAAAACACAAGAAGTGAATCCAATAAAGATCCTTATGCTGATTTGATATTTAGTATTAATTGCATGACCATCATAGCACCATTTCCACAATCCACAGAATTAGCAGCTGCTTGAGTCTAACTAAAAATAATCCAATATTGATACAACTTATATCTTCGCACCATACACAACCAGTAGTGTCTTAGTACAGTGCTGTAAAATGGAAGTCTGCAGATTTGACGGAAGATGCCATTTTAACATAGACAATCAGTGATATACCGGCAATACTGTTGAAGCAGACAGTCAACATCGAGGAAAAAAGGGCAATTAACGGTTTTAACCAAATTAACATCCAATATTACCCTTCCCTTTAAGAGAAAACAAGTTAAGGTCACTTTAGCTTGGAACCTAATGCATTTACCTATGATGATCTTGCTAACTACTACACAAAATGGTCGGATGTCCTCTGTCACAAGACCAGTATTGGGAAAGCCATAATTACAAGAGGCATCTACTGCATTAGTTAGAACTTCCTTTATGGCAATCATTATTGAATTCACTTGTACTTTCACAATCAAACAAGTTATGATGGCCCTCCATTTTCATTCAAGAAAGTGTCGAGTATCAAGTGGCTTTGAAGTAGCACAGCAACTTTTTTTTAATATAAAGAGTTCAGAGCATCCGATTGCGCTTGTGCGTTGGGGAATCTGTGATGACATCAGTACACTGGGCTGAGGTACGCTTCCTAGTGCCACCATTGTCCAAATGGAGTGCCATTTCTTCTGATATGAAAGTGTTCAAATCCACGTCATGGAGTCCATTTCTCCTGCGGGAAGAGTTGGAGCTACCACTTACATGTGTGGGAGATCCAGGAGTACTTGAGCGTACACTTATACCAGCCATTGCTCCACTGAGACCTGTGGAAAAGCAAAACTATGTTAAGAAACATTACATTACATCTTAAATATTGACAACATTACAGTTTGCTGCCTTGATCACTAAAATTATGGAGGTATTGCTTGTGAGTCACAAACTTGCTTAGTCAATCTTCAATGGGTCAATGAATGAACAGGGTTCGGAACGGGAGCACCATTATAATACCGTGTCACCATCAAAAATATCACACGCCTGTCACCATCAAAAAACTGTTAAATTACCAAACAGTAAATTCTTTATGTAGAGAGCAGCAAGACTATGGAATTCACTGTCAGCAGCTGCGGTTGAAAGAAAAGCATCAATAAGTTTTAGAGGAAATTTGATGCATGCATGAGGAAGAGGGAATAGGTGGGTGTGGGCTTAGTGGGGTATAAATGGCAGATTCATTGGGCCGAACGGCTCGACTCCATGCCACCTCATTCTACACAATTCTCTGCAACACCTTTAAATTAAGAAGTAGTCACAATTTCACCCCTTTCACGAAGGAACAGAGATGTTAGAATGTGAATCAAGCAACAGCTAAGATTTGTTTATTCTGAAAGGTCTGAATTATTACATGGAAATTAATGTGAAGAACTAGCCCAAGGTGAAGTCCATTTGTGTCAATCATCACAGAATCCTAACACTTATATGTGTGGGAATCCTAAATATTATAAGCATCCACAAATATGTTGGTGCTGCACCCTTCTCCCTTATTCCTGTGGCTTGGGCTGTTCATAGACAATCTTGGATCATAGAGCACAGAATCCCTTATTCAGTCCTGGAATATAAAGAACTCTGCAGCTCATGTCATCTTCCGAACCAAGCTCTGTAAACCTATCTCTCCATCCCCGCCCTACTCCACTGGCTCCCCATCCCCCAGAGATTAGTGTTCAAAATACTCGTCCTCGCCTTCAAAGCTCTCCACTGGTGGCCTTGCTCCTCTCTATCCGTGACCTTCCAACTGACCAGTCCTCGACCACTACTCAGCAGACTCAGGCCTGCGCCATTACCCCACCCTGCCCTCCCCACCATCAACAGTCGAGCCTTTCTGCCACCAACCCTTTGGAATTGCGTCCCACAGCCCTTAGCCTTGCCTCCTTCCTTGTCGCCTTCAAAACCCTTCTCTTCAATTGAGCCTTCGGTCACCCACCTACCCCACCCTCCTCCACTCTTGATCCCAACCCCCAGCTCAGGAACAAGTCCTTGACTATCCAGCAGCTTGGGACAACCTCCTAACATGAAAAGCACGATCCAGATGTAATTTGTTATGCTAAAGATGAATCTGAGTAGCACTCTCAAATAAGCATAAGAGACAACTTGAGGCAGTGTTCAGAGTAAAGATATCTATCCTTTAAGATTTAGAATTATGTGGCATTAAACTGGATAGATTTCCTTTAATGATTCAAACTCGGCCCAGCATTGTGACCAAATGAAATCAATTGGAACAATTTTAGCCTTTTAAAATTTTGTTTATAAATGCAAAGGAATTGAGAAATCGATCATATTGGATCAGTAACAGTACTGTCTGGAGTAACCAAGTTGAAAGTCTATTTCTCAATTTGCACATGCTTTTAGGATTACACGCATCATTAACACAGAGGTAGTACTCAGTGTTTAGTGGATTGTCTATCAAGAGTCTAAAAGGTGAGGTGGCATACAATCTGGTATATAAGCAATGCTCTTGTAAAAAAAACTTCCTAAACTTTAGAATTCAGATTTTATAGTGCAGAACTATTCAAAACAACATTTATAGGGCGCCTTTCACATTGGGAGGACGTCCCAAGGCGCCTAAAAGTTAAGTTCTTCATATCAAACATGAAATCATGGGAGAGAATTAAAGATCACAAGTATTCTTGGTTCTTGCAAAGTAGCTAACTGAAGAGAAACATTAGCAATAATGTTTAACAAGCAAATAAGAACTATATGCAATTAAACAATTAAAGCTCTCACCCCGTAATCCTACAACACAAATAAATCCACAACCATTATTTATCCTCTGCTCACAAGCAACCCAGCAGTTCAACCACACTGCCTTTATGTTCCCTCTACAGACCTTAATCCTAATAATTAGGATCTATTCTGCATTTTATATCTGCCTATCTGTTTCTGAGGCCCACGTGTGTCCATAAGAGAAAGTAGAGAGCTTAGACAAACTTAATGATAATCAAGGCAGGGAAAGAGGGGGCTGGAATTCCAGAGCGGGGAATAGCTGAAAGCTTGCCTACAGATGGTGGAGTAGATCGGGCAGAGCACATGAAGGAGTGCAGTATTTGCTGAGTGAAGGGAGTGGCTGGGACAGTAGGGGCACAAGATAGGATGGGACAGGGCCATGGAGGGATTTTAAAGTGGAGACAAGGTCCTTGACTGTGATCCACTGGGGGATGGGAGCCAAGCAAGGATGAACACGAGCTCCTAATGCGGGAGAGGAAATGGGCTGCAGAGTTCTGATTGGTCTGCACCTCAAGTCCAATGAGCAGGCCGTTCAAATAATCATGCCTGAATGTACTGAAAGCATGGACGAAGGCGGCAGCCCAGGGGAAGTAATGGCAGAAACAGACAATGTTGCAGAGTTGAAGGAATGCCGAGTGAGCTGGAGCCCGGATGAAGGATTTGAAGGACAGTTGGGTCTCTTGTCCTTGCCTGGTTCAGGTCCTACCTTTCACACCGCCTCCACTTCGACTCTGCAAACGGCTTCTCCTCCAGCCCCTGCACCGTCTCGTGCGGCGTTCCTCAGGGCTCTGTCCTCAATCCCCTCCTTTTCACCCTCTACATGCTCCCCCTTGGTGACATCATCCGCAGACATAGGGTAAATTTCCACATGTATGCGGATGACACCCAACTCTATCTCTCTGCCTCCACCCTCAACTCCAGGACTACTGGCGTCCTGATCGACTGCCTGTCCGACATCAAGTCCTGGACGAGGGACAACTTTCTCCAACTGAACGTCAGCAAGATTAAGGCCCTCCTGATTGGCTCACACCAGCACTTCCGCACCTCGGGCGCTGGCAGCATCAGCCTCCACGGCTGCACACTCAACCTCACTAAGCCGGTCAGGAACCTGGGTATCATGTTTGACCCTGAACTGTCCTTTCTCCCCCACATCCGCGCCATGACCGGCACTGCCTACCACCACCTCCGCAATACTGCCAGACTCTGCCACTGCCTCACGCTGTCAAAACCCTCACCCACACATTCGTCACATCAAGGCTCAATTATGGAAACTCACTCCTCATCGGCCTTCCCAACTCTTCCCTTCACACGCTGCAGATCATCCAAAACTCTGCAGCTCATGTACTCTCGCGCAACAGGCTCCATGACCCCATCACTCAGGATCGCATTCAAGAGTCCTCATTTTCAAGGCTATGCATGGCCTTGCCCCCTCCTACCTCTCTGACCTGCTGACTCCCTACTAAACTGCCCACTCCCTCCGTTCAGCGGGCTCCGGCCTGCTCCATGTCTCCCGCTCGACTATCGGTGGCTGAGCTTTCAACCTCTCTGCCCCCACACTCTGGAACTACATCCCACAGTCCCTTCGCCTCGCTTTCTCCTTCGCCTCCTTCAAGGCCAGTCTCAAGACTCTTCTCTTCAATTGTGCCTTCAGTTGCCCTCCCAGCTCTCTGCCTTCCCTCACCCCTACCCTACCCCAATGCACAGCTCCTGACCCCTGACCTTCCAGTGCCTCGGGACGTCCTCCCAACATGAAAGGAGCTCTATAAATGTAATTTTGTTGTTGTTGTCTCGCACAAGACACTGGGGTTCCACACTGGCTCCATGAGGTGGAATAAGCATCCAATCAGGATGATACAGTCAAGCCCTTCAAATTTGTTGCCATTCTTAAACTAGATGGGTTTATGGTTATAATATTATTCCAAAGCAAAGGACAAGCATGCTACAATCTTTGACTTTACAGGTTAGAGAAAAATACCTCTATTGATTTACAAGCAGGGAAAACATTTAAAAATTGTGTGCGTGTGTCCGCCTAAAAAAACAAGCAAGTGCAGGATATATAGAATATATAGAACAGCAAGGACAACATAAAAAGGACACTGAAAGATAATACAAAACAGATACAATGGAAAGACTTTACAAACCAAGCAAATTGTAGCTTTGTTCCTTCAAAGATGCTTCAGTTTGTAGCGTATATTATTCCTTCAACACAGGGGATTTTGTAACTGCTAGATGTTTGTGTCCTGTTGCTTCATATCCAAATCCCCAGAAGCAAAATGTTGGGGGGTTGGTAGGAGGAGGGAGCAATAAATCATCCCATGTGATTTAGGAAAAGCATTTTCAATATTGATTTTGGCTCTGGTCGTTTACATAAAGGTTGAGCACAGAGCTAATGTTATATGGACCCCAAGAATCAAGAAAAAGGTAAATAGCACAAAATTAAAAATGTGCTAGAGAACAGGTCAGGAGGGAAGAAGGTTTGAATATCCTTGTATTTATAATAAGGCAAAATACTGACTGTACATCTAGTAAACCAGTAATCGTAAACATTTGATTAGATTGCAATTTAGATTATAATTAAAGCAGCAACAAGCTTGTGTTGATGGCAGGTTGTTTTGCATGAATCTCAACAGCAAACAGGCGCTTTAACACATTCAATGCAGTGATAGTATAAGCTGTTAATTGCACAACTAATTTTTCATGTCATTCAAAAACTGCATGCTCTATCAAAAGTGTTGGGTTCCTTGGATTCATTTATATTGACAAATCTAGATTAACCATATCAACAACTGCAAACTAAACATTCCATTATACATCGAGCAGGTTCTACGGAAATGAAATGTGGAAAATTTCAGATCTTTAAAACCTGAATAGCCACATACTTTTGCTAGTGATTCTGCAAATGGTAATAATAAGAAAATTCTAAATGGGTCCTCAAGTTCACAGGAAGTGGAGGTCATGATCAGAGTTGTGATAAATAAAGCCAAACACTTCATGTATTGCTAAACACTATCCATGTATCCATGAATCCTGTCTTTCTTCAAACACAGGAGAGGAAGGGGCATGGAGACACAATATTAAAGGTTTACAGCAGAATATACATTATCTTTGTTTGTAACTTTTTTTTTCAATTATTTTTCAATTATTCCCTATATTCTATTTACAAAAATGTCAAACTAAATTGGTGGTTAGAATTGCGACAATGTACATGAATGCATTGGTATAGACTTTGCTATCTCATGCAGTGGCCCAAGCAAAAAGAAAATGCACCTCTTGGAATACATCTCAAAGCATTTTCTATTCATATGTACTTGATGTGTCAATGCACCATTTTGTAAGGTCTTATGGCATCCTGACTATTACATTCAACACTTGACAGAAAAAGAACTGGCACATGTAAATTTAATGGGTTTCCAGATTTGAATGCAATATTTCATGACGCAACCAGTTTAAGAGTTCCAAAGCTAAGGTGGTTGAAATGAGGATCCGATAGCACAGAGAACTAGTTCTGAAATACAGTATAGTCCGACAACAAACAAACCACCTACTTTTCCAAGTACTTAATTACTTAAAAGCATAATTACCATGGAGTGCAATGGCTTCACGGAAGGGTTGTAAATCGGTTTCTACAGATGAGTTAGTTTCTGCTGTGGCTGCTCTAGTGGGTGAAGTTACTACTGTAAGTCTTGGGGGAGCTCTGGTGTTGCGAGGTGGTGGAGCTTTTCCACAGAGAAAGCTGATCAAATCTTCTCTGCGAATGGTTCGTCTCCGCTTTTTTACCCAAGCTAACACATCCTTATTGCGTCGTTGATAGCCGACCTGAATTCCTAAATCATAACTTCTGCGATGAGCTTCAATGCTTTCTGAAACAAAAACAGTTCTCTCAGCATAACCAGGTACTTTCAAAATCAGAAATATTATGTTCCCTGACATAGTTCAAAGGTACACTATTCCACCTTACTGAATCAGGGGAAGAAATCTGAAATGATTTTGTGAAGATACAAAATCTTTAACAAAAGCAACATAATCTGTACCACTCGTAATTCAAGACACAAGACCAATATTTCATTTGGTTAAATATACTGAACACTGAAGCACATCAAAGTTATTTAAAAAGTGTGAAGTTATAAGCTTATATCACAACCTGAATGACTTGTAAAGATGCTCATATATGCCAACGACTGAAGACTGTGAACACTGGTTGAACAGCAATGTGTGTAGACTGAACACTTTACAAAGCTAGGTTTCTTTTTTTTTAAAAAGTCTTCACCTGGAAGTCATTCAAATGAAGCAAGCATAAAATGAGTAGTGCACTAAAGTTTAGGCATCATACACCTAGAATTCTGAGATCAAATACTGATCTAAATAACAGATTTCTACAGATACATTTCTATACAGATGTTAAGGGATCCAGATTAGTAGAACAGCACAGAAAACGGATCTTCCAATTTCCATCGTACAGGCATTAGTACAGTTCAAGTTTATTCCAGAAGCATTTAATCAGCAATTCTGTACAGTTGCACAAGGGCTTCATTCACTACAAGCAACCTAAAACAGAATGTATTAAAATTAGCTTTTTCAATGCTGTATTTGCTTTTGAGATGTATGCTGTGTGTGATTAGACATATGGTTCTTAAATGGCCTCAACGTTACTAAGAATCAGGGTTTGCCTAACAAAGGTCAAGAGATGGAAATTCATTAGCTACTCGTCTTTCCCATAATGGAGATGTACTGTAGATGTCAATAAGGATCTGCTCCAGTCAGCCACAAAATGGTGCCCATTTGTTTTCACAGTCATCAGGAAAACACAGTGCAACAGCAATGCAAAATAAATGAACACACAGCTCAAGTAATGTTACAAGCAGCAAAACTCTTCTGAAAGTGAATTCATAAAGCCATATTTATACTATCCTAATAGCCCAGTGGATAACTGCACTTCCTGTGGTGTATTCAGCAAAATAAAGGTCAACCTTATCTCGACCAGTGCAATTCCAAGACACTACAATTGTCCTCAGCACTCCATAAACAAAGTGGAGCAAGGAGGAATAATTAGCCATGGTTCCCAGTCTCGGCACTATCCCCTTTCTGAAAAGCACGCAGACGTCAGATGAGGCCACGTTTAAACTCAACTATGACACCCATCTAATATACTGCCAACACATATGAATGCCACTCAGACAAAATACTCTTTAGGTGAGGCGCAAAAGGTTAACACCATCAATGAAATTTGCCCAGGATATTACCTTTGGCTGAAGGGAAAAAAAAATCTAGGTGAATGCTGGCCAGTGAGTACTGTATAACTCATCTCTGCACAAAGTAGATTTCTTCATTTTTCATTATAAGCTCTAGAATGATGACGAATCACTAAAAATATTGATTTGATGGCCAAATGTTAAATGCTGTATGTGTGTGTATATATATATATACACACACAACTTAATACTTTAATCACTCTCAGCTTCAATTCATACCATTCTTTTAAAATAGAAAGATCAGATTGATCACAATATTTCTATACAAATTTAATGTTAGACACCAGACGTAATGCACTTTCTGTGCAGTTTCTGTTATAGCATAAGTTTATAACTACAGTAACCATGTACTGTACAACTGAGTAGAGATAGATGCTGCTGTATCGCCAAAGGGGAGCAATGGAGGGTGGATCCTTCAAACAAGAAAATGGCATACAGACTCATACAGACTGTATACCCCACCTTCTCAAAGACTATGAATGGTGTGTGGGACAAGAGATCAAACAGGGAGATAAATCTGAAGCATTTAAAAATATATTTGCACGCATTTAGTTCGGGTAAACCGTTCTGGTATTGCATTAACCGCTCAGTAAAGGTTCAGCACAATTTACAAATCGTGCAGTCCATGATGGCTTCAACAAAATTGCAATAGTTGCATCACTTAATGGATTAAGTACCTATATTCCAGTAGTTTGTGGGGTAATGCACAGCATTCCAAACATTTCAAGGCTTAAAGTAACATATGTATTAATTCTTGCAGGAGAAAAATCTAAGTTTCCCATTTAAGAAATAAGCAATATGTGGTGAATTACATACCTATGTTTAAAATTCCCTGAATAAAAAAATTCAGCCTCACTGGATTTTAAAGTGCACTTGGATGCACTTTAAAAACTAAATGGAGCACATGATTTTAATTGGATTTGAAAGTTACCCATCTTGAAGTGGGGGTGGGGGAAGAGGAAATATGAAAACGACTTACAAATATTGCTCACTGTGGGAACAGAAGTATATTGCAGCAACCTTGTTTTGACTGCATCAGCTATCCAGAACCCTGAGTCATGCAAAGAACTCTGGAGTGGAGAGGCAGAACTTCAGCTAATTTACCAAAACGTTCATTGGGAGAACTGAAAAGATTTTTTTTTAAAAAAACATCAAGTCACGAACAGAATTAATTCACTTTGAGGAAGTTACCTTCAGACCAGTCTTGAAAACAATCACTGTGTTAAGAAAAAGGCAAATGCAAATCATCGGACCTTTCAGATTAAGCAGACAAATTTCTGCACAAGACCTCAAAACAATCACAAGTGGTGACAATTACAATCTACTTTAGGGCCCTTCTGGCAATTTAATGCTTGCACCACAAAATGATAGGAACCATTAGGAGCTGCAATGAATTTGCAGTTATCGCCCCATATTAGAACTTCTAAAGAAACGGGGGGAATAAAACAGTGATTTTCTTTGTGTGTAAGAAAATGTATATGTGTGGGGGGAGGGAGGAGAAAGGAGGTGCAAACATTTTCCTGCAGAGCCGAGACACTACCTGCATGAAGAATTCTATATAAACGCAAGTTGTTGTTTCATATAAGTATATACCAGAATTTAGACCCACAACCAAAAAAACAAGGCAATTGCTGTATGGACCACCCTTCTTACCCCCCTCCTCCAAAGAAAAGAGCGTTTACCTTTATATAAATTGGTGACAGCAGAGGCGGCATTTTGAAATGGAACCCATAGTGACAGCCCTTGTTGTTGACAGACCCGATCTACAAAAAAAGCAGGAACCAAAAGAACATAGGAGGGGGAAGGAAGAAAGTAGGTAGAAGGGGGCACAGAGGAGTGGAAACAGGGGGGCAAGAGGGTATGTGGGAGCGGAGTAGCGGGGGGGGTGGAGAAAGAACAGAGGAGTGGCGGAGAAGGAATGGAGAAGTGGAGGATGAAGAGCAATGGGAGAGTGGGGCAGAGGAGGTGCAGAGGCAATAGGGGAGTGGGCAGGAAGAGGGGGGGTGGAGGCAATGGGGGAGCAGGGTGGAGGAGAGGTTCAGATCAATGGGGGAGCGGGGCAGAGGAGGGGGTGCAGAGGCAATGGGGAGCGGGGCAGAGGAGGGGGTGCAGAGGCAACGGGGGAGCGGGGCAGAGGAGGGGGTGGAGCAACGGGGGAGCGGGCAGAGGAGGGGGTGCAGAGGCAATGGGGGAGCGGGGCAGAGGAGGGGGTGCAGAGGCAATGGGTGACCAGGGCAGAGGAGAGGGTGCAGAGGCAACGGGGGAGCGGGGCAGAGGAGGGGGTGCAGAGGCAACGGGGGAGCGGGGCAGAGGAGGGGTGCAGAGGCAACGGGGGAGCGGGGCAGAGGAGGGGTGCAGAGGCAACGGGGGAGCGGGGCAGAGGAGGGGGTGCAGAGGCAACGGGGGAGCGGGGCAGAGGAGGGGGTGCAGAGGCAATGGGGGAGCGGGGCAGAGGAGGGGGTGCAGAGGCAATGGGGGAGCGGGGCAGAGGAGGGGGTGCAGAGGCAATGGGGAGCGGGGCAGAGGAGGGGGTGCAGAGGCAACGGGGGAGCGGGGCAGAGGCAACGGAGGAGCGGGGCAGAGGAGGGGGTGCAGAGGCAACGGGGGAGCGGGGCAGAGGAGGGGGTGCAGAGGCAACGGGGGAGCGGGGCAGAGGAGGGGGTGCAGAGGCAATGGGGGAGTGGGGCAGAGGAGGGGTGCAGAGGCAATGGGGGAGCGGGGCAGAGGAGGGGGTGCAGAGGCAATGGGGGAGCGGGGCAGAGGAGGGGGTGCAGAGGCAATGGGGCAGAGGAGGGGGTGCAGAGGCAATGGGGCAGAGGAGGGGGTGCAGAGGCAATGGGTGACCAGGGCAGAGGAGAGGGTGCAGAGGCAATGGGGCAGAGGAGGGTTGCAGAGGACAGAATGGGGTGGCAGTGGAGAAGGAGAGCGAATGGGGGTGGATGGAAGGAGGGGAAGAGGGGAGGAAAAATTAGAACAATAAAGAAACCATGTGAACTATGCACAGAGCCTCCCCCAATCCAGTCAGCATTCACATAGACCGACCCTTCCCCCTCCCCAGCCCCAGTCACTGTCACACACACATTTACAGACATTTACACTTCCCCCATCCACACAACCGCCGGCCATGTTTGATTTCGCCATTTTGGTTGCGTCTTGTGTTTTCCTTCCCCCATCTCTCTCTCTCTCTATTTCTTTCCAAAAAAAAACTCCCAAAGCAAACCGGCACAAACAGATAAGAAAAAAGCCCCCTCTCCCCCACCCCAGGAAAAAAAGATAAGTAGCGGCAGGGCACCTTTTTTTTAATCACTCAAACACACAATACATATATATATATATATATATATATATATATGATATATATATACATACACACACACAAACAGAAACAACCATTTTAGAGCAGCACCATTGATCGCCATTACAGAGATTTAAAGACGGGTTCATCACATTCTCACATTTCCTCCCACACACGGATTTAACGCCATTATAATTATTATAATAATTATTTAGCCACATATTTACAGCACCCCCCTCCCTCCCCCTCCCCCACGCACACCCCCCTCCCCCCTCCCCACCCGGAGGGATTACCTTTGTATAACTGGGCGACGGCGGTGGCTGAATTTTGAAATAAATGCCAAAGTTTCTGCTGCGTTTGCTCTTCCTCCAGCGACGCCCTCTGCTCCTGGCTCTGCTCCTCGGGCTCGCTCTCGGCCAGGCATTGCCTCTCCCACTTGGAGAACCAGTGCTCAGGGCCGTGCTCCTGGATCTCCGACTCGTGGTCGTCTTTTTTATCCTCCATGACACCCGCCGTCAGTCCCTTTTTTATATATATATATATAGATCAACCGATATTTATAAAAAAAACAAACTCAAAACGTCTCGTTACTTATATATATATATATTTTATCGTCTCTTCGTCGACTGCTTCCTTTTCCTCTCTCTCTCACTCTCTGAAGTAATGTTTTATTGGATTATTATTTTCTCCTCCCCCTTTCCTTCCTCGGATCGGCGGTTTGTTTATATATATATATATTTATAATTTCTCTCTCGCTCTTCCCCTCCTCCTCCTCCTCCTCCCCTCCGCCGCCGCCGCCACCTCCTCCTCCACCTCCCTCCTCCTCCCGCCGCCGCCTCACCTCACACAGACCCCCACATTAAACCCGTCTCCGGCGCCGCCGTCAACAATCGCCTCGCTTGTACTTTTCGCTGACGTTATTGAAGTGAAGGGAGAGGAGAGGGGGAGGGAGGGAGGAGACGGACGTACGCCGCCGCGCTGCGCCCGTGAACCTTAACGTGACGCCCGGAAACACACATAGACATACATACATACATACATACATGGCATATGCGGATAACCCGCACCTCAAGCCTGGGATGGCTGCTGACTGACGCGCGCGACTGCACATGCGCTCTCGCGGCGCAGCGCCCGACCCTAACGGTTTCTCCCGCCTCCCCGCTCGCTCACGCTCTCCCACCCTCTTCCCGCACGCACACACTCGCCATCCTGATTGGCCGCCCTTTCCCGCCAATCCTCCCTCTCTTTTTTCTCTCTCTCGCTCCCCCCCCCCCTCACACACCCCGCGCTTGATTAATTGGGATTGGTTGAGGTGCACGTCAGTTAAGGGTCTTCCCCAGCGCCGATTGGTTACAATGGGTGAAAGGGGGCGGGATCGAGACTGTCTCGCTCTCTTTTTGTCTCCTCCCCCCATCCCCGCCCGTAGTCACAGCCCGGATTGGTTGCTGCGCACCTCAGTCAAGCGTCTTCCCCAACGCCGATTGGTTGCAATGGATGAAAGGTGGGGCGGAGGCGGGAGATCCGGTTCGGGGTGTGTCTGTGTGGGTTTGTTGTGTTGAGGGAAAATGATTGGGAAGGTGGGAGGGTGCGTGCGTGCGCGAGTACGTACGTACATGTGTGTGTGCCCGGCCTGAGGTTGGTGTATGTGTTGGGTTAAGTGGGTGAGGATCGGGGTATGTAGGCGGGTGTATAACCGCAAAACGAGTTTATGATTGGTCAGTCAGCGTGCCAGTCTAGTCCCCCCGCCCCTCCTCGCAACACCGGTTGGTGGACAGCGGACCTGGGGGCGGGCGTCGTAATCCTAAAACGAGCTTTCGATTGGTCGACGTTCCCGTCAGTTAGATGATGTGCCCGCCCCCTTACGGAAAAGAAGCCAACAGTAGGTCACGTGACCCCCCTTTCCTCACCAACAGCCCAACCCCATAGCACTGGGGCTCAGAGGTAATGTTCCAGTCACAGTTTTGCACCTCATTAGAGTCCAAAACTACCAAAAATAAAGTACACAGTGTCCCCATCAACACTCAGTCAGAATGCGCCTTAGTGCCCTCTCGTGTTTGTGGTGGACAGTTGACACCAGGAGCAAAGGTTATGCTTCCACAGCACTCCCACAGGAGTCAGAGTGCTGTGTAAGCATAACCTTCCCCAGGATTGGAACTCCTCGCCCTCAATCGCCCCCCCCCAGCGCTGCCCCCAGCGCTGCCCCCTCCGCTGCCCCCAGCGCTGCCCCCTCCACTGCCCCCAGCGCTGCCCCCAGCGCTGCCCCCTCCGCTGCCCCCAGTGCTGCCCCCTCCGCTGCCCCTCCGCTGCCCCCAGCGCTGCCCCCTCCGCTGCCCCCTCCGCTGCCCCCAGCGCTGCCCCCTCCGCTGCCCCTCCGCTGCCCCCAGCGCTGCCCCCTCCGCTGCCCCCTCCGCTGCCCCCAGCGCTGCCCCGGCACTGCTGCCCCCCCCGCCGCCCCCACCCGCTGCCCCCGCCGCCCCCCCCGCTGCCCCCGCCGTTGCCCCCCCCGCCGCCCCCCCTGCCGCCCCCGCCGCGCCCCCTCTTGTGTGCCAGCTTGGCTCAGTTGGCAGTACTCTCGCCCCTTGAGTCAGAAGGTCGTGACTCGGCCGGAGTATTGCGATTGAGGCAGAGAGTTCCAAATCCAAACACGGGGATTACGGAGACGGCGTCTTTGAGAGGGGGGAAACTCCCCCCAAATTACTGCAGACGCTGGAAATCTGAAAACAAAAACAGACGTCGCTGGGAAACACGCTGGGAGCAGGTCAGGCAGCATCTGTGGAGAAAGGCAAGCGACGAAGGGTCGTGGACCCGAAACGTTGACTCACCTTTTTTTCTCCATGGACGCCGCCTGACCTGCTGAGCGTTCCCAGTGATTTCTGTTCTTGTTTTACCTTGGAGAGGGATATCAGGGCCTCGGGGAGAGCGCAGAAGAGATTTACCAGAATGATACCAGGGATTTCAATTATATGGAGAGACTTCAATAATATGGAGAGACTAGAGAACCAGGGATTCTCCTTAGAACACGGTAAGTTAAGGATATTTAATAGAGGTCTTCAAAATTATGAGGGGTTTTGATAGATGGGGAGAAACTGTTTCCTCTGGCGGGTGAGTCAGTAACCAGAGGGCACAGATTTAAGATAATTGCCAAAAGAACCAGCGGGGAGACCAGAATTTTTTTTTTTGCCCAGAGAGTTACACTCTGTAATGAAAGGGTGGTGGAAGCCGATGTGATAGCAGCTTTCAATAGGTACTTGAAAAAGAAAAAAATTGCAGCTTTATGGTAAGAACGTGGGAGTGGGACTAGTTGGATAGCTCTTTCAAAAAAATATAATACAACAATAATAATCCATGCATTTGATATAGTGCCTTATCACGTCTTTGAGACGTCTCAAAGCGCTTCACAGAATATACTTTAAAGTGAATTGACCGTATATTTTCTGCACTTCGGATGAGACGTTAAACCGAGGTCCCGTCTCCCTGTTCAGGTGGATATTAAAGATCCCATGGCACTATTGAAAAAAGATGGGAGTGTCTCCCGGTGTTCTGACCACCAAATCCCCCAGATAAAATAGGTCACTTGTGGGACATTGCTGTGCACAAACTGGATGCCGCATTTCGCCTACAAAATACAGTCAACCCACTTTACAGCCTTTAGAGTATATCTTGTGAAGCACTTTGAGACGTCTCAATGACAGGATAAGGGGCTGCATCAAACGCAAGGATTATTGTTATTTATTCTTAAATCCCACTTTAAGACCTACATCCTCGACTATGCCTATGGTTTCTTCCCTTTCCCTCTGCTCCCTTGCTTGGCATCCAATCCTGCCACTGAGATGGTATTCTGCATGAAGAGAACTTCCATAAATGGAAGTTGCTGTGTTATTGGTCACTCACTATGCCACATTTGCCTACAATTACACATTTTGCCTGCATATATTCTTTAAAGTGTGGGCAGGAGGATGGTGGCAATCCTCTCACATTTTTGGCTGAGCTACAAATGCTCAGTAGGAAGCTCGCAGGGAGATCCTAGTAACTGCCATCTACCTACTGAGGGCTCGAATCTGCTCGGATATCAAATAATAACAATAATCTTTGCATTTAATATAGCACCTTTCATGTCGGGAGGATGTCCCAAAGCAATTCATGGGAAGTGAAAGTGGAATTTGTGGACGAACTGGCAACCAATTTGTGAGCAGCAATCTCTCACAATCAGCTATGACACACCAATTTTTTGGGGGGGTTGTTGACCAGACACTGGGGGAGCAAGCAGGTAGGTAGGGTTATAGAAGGTCACTATTCGAAAGACTGTGGCAAGACTGGAGAATGGTAGCCTAAAAGTTCTAAAATATAAAATAGCAGTGGGTGATAGGCCCTTGGAGCCTAGTGTGGGAGAGGACATGAGCTGCAGAATTTTCAATGGTTTGTAGCTTGTGGTGGGAAGTGTTGGGATGTCCAGCAAACAGAAAATTGGTGTGATAAAAGCATGGATCAGGGTCTTAGGAGCCTGAGGGGAGAGGTAGTGACGGAGGTGGGCAGTGTTGCTGAGAGGGGAAAGCTGAATGGGTCAAAGCACAGGTGTGGGGTTTAAACGACAGCTGAGAGTCGAACAAAACACAGATGTTCTGCATTGATTTCGTGAGGTGGAATATGCATCTGTGAAGATTTATGCTGTTAGAGCCAGTATCTAAGAAGAAAAATCAGAAGAGCTCAGGGTTGACATGGAATGAGTGAGATACAGGATTACCATCAACAAAATGCAGGGGGAATGTGTAGTCTACAGTGAAAGCAAGCATGATCTAGGAACGCTGTACTTACAAATATTATAATCTTGTACTTTATTGTATGTTGTATTGAAATCATATTATGTCTGCACTTTTACAGAAAGAATCACATACAGAGCACAAAGGGAATCCAGTATAAAAATATAGGGTGCAGAGTAAAAGTCTGATTGGTATATATTAGAGCATTGTTACTAAGGTCACTAAGGAGATCTCTCCAGCTGAACACTGTAATTTGCCCCTCTCCCAAAGTATTTCTGCACAGAAATTAATCAAATGCTTATTCAGTATATAGGTTTTGAATCCTCTAATTAGCAGAAGCATCCGGAACTATGTTTTCAGCGCTATTTTGTGCTTTAGAACCTTTAGGCAACCTTTCTAAAAAAAAGGGCTATTTGCAGGGCAAGAAGATATAATAATAATCCTTGCATTTGCTATAGCGCCTTTTAATGTTGGGAGGACGTCTCAATGCGCTTCACAGGGTTTACTGTAAAATGTAGTGACTGTATTTTGTAGGTGAACACTGGTGGACAGTCAGAATAGAGTCAGGTGGATGTAAAAGGTCCCATTGCACTATTTGAAAAGAGAAGGGAGTTTCTCCCAGCCAACAATATCCAAAATGAAATTGGTCACTGACTTCATGGCTGTTTGAGGGACATAGCTGCGTGCAATTGGCTGCCACGTTTCACTCACAAAATACACAGTCAGTCCACTTTATAGTATATGATGTGAAGTGCTTTGAGACATCTTAACGACATGATAAAGCACTATATCAAATGCAAGAATTATTATTATTGTGCTGGTGTTCATGCTCCACGTGAGTCTCCATCGCTCCTAATCCCCTCTCCTTCAGATGTCCTCCCAACATAAAAGGCGCTATATAAATGTAAATTTCTATTGTATTGTCCCTTATGTATGCCCCACTTACTAGATGATGGGTAAACCACCATAAACTAGATAAATAGAAAGGGATTCAATTACAGGAGCAAATGGGGAGGGTTCAAGTAAATGAGGTTTGCTCTTTCAAAGAGACATGATGGGCCGAATGACCTTCTTCTGTGCTGCAAAATTCTGTAGTTCTCGTCATCATAACAACATACACTATTTTTACCCAATACCATTTTACTGTTATTCTGAGGAGTGAGTTATCACTGAGAGGTTCTGGTTCTTTCTCACTATTGTCACAAAGACTGTAGCAAAAGCAAGAGATTTTGCCACCATTATAGTAAAAAATTCAAATGTTACAAATTGGGTTTCTCTGGAACAAAGCATTGTACAGAGCTGATGATGCAGATTGTATGAGTGAGTCACCCATTTTGAACGTACTGTATCTCTACTTTCAGTATCGTAATATAAAACGTATTAGAGTCACGAAATCACTGACGGCGGCAATAATCCTTCGCACCTTCCATCATTGCTTCCCAGTCAGTAAAAAGGTATGTTGTGGAATTCAAGAGTTCAGGCCTTTGAGAAGGTTTGTAAATTTGTTTCAATCTATTGTCCTCAAATAATGACATGCTTATGTACAATAAATTGCTGTGCAATCTTTGCATAACACTAACCTTTGCATTTGATATAGCACCTGTAATGTCAGAACTTTTCCCAGGGAATTGTCATCAATTGTATTGACTTTGTATATATGCAGGCAAACACAGCATCCAATCTGCACCCAGAGATGTCCCACAAATAGCCACAAGGCGAGTGAACAATTTGGAGATTGTTGGCCAGGACACTGGGGAAAAACTCATTTGTCTTCATGAATAGTGTCACGGGATCAATCATGACCACCTGAACAGGCAGACCTCATTTTAAAATCTCATCCAAAACGATGGTTCCTCTGACACAGCTCCACCCAGTAATGCAATGGAACATCAGCGAGGAATATGAGCTCAAAGCTGGGCTGAAACCATAATGAATTTTACAACCACGATGAGAAGGATTTTGCCTCGTTTCATAATCTCGATAATTCTTTTGAGTGACATTTAATTTTTTTGTTTAAGAATATCCAAATACCAGTCGAGCCTTTTACCAACAATGACCCAATAATTTTGCAATTATTCTCTGGCATAAATTTAGTTAATCCTAAAAACTGAATGCTTGCATTCTGGTTTCAATTATCTTCAATTCAAAAATTTTTCTACAGTACAAACACTGTGTTGCACTCAAACAGTGCAGATTAATGTAAAAAAAACTTCTTCCTGATGACAAGAAAAGTAGAATGTGAGTATTGAATCACATCTAAACTTGAGGAAGCGATCCTTACGTTTTATAAAAGCATCTGTGAATAGAATAGAGAACTACTCTATTTGTCTCTAATTGTGTTTCTTTACATTGTTGGAATTTGGCACAAAGCAGATAATAATGAAAGATAAGAATAATAATAATAACTCTTGCCTTTGATATAGCACCTTATCACATCTTCGGGATGTCTCATTTGGTATAGAACCTTTCCATGTCAGGAGGATGACTCAAAGTGATTTACAGAATTTACTTTAAAGTGTAGTAATTCCTCCAAAAAAAACAATAATAATCATTTGGTCCTCAATCCACGACTGTTTGTGGGACACTGCTGTGCGCAATTGGCTACCTTAACAGGCAGCTGGGACCTCAGTTTAACGTCTCAACCGAAGGACGTCACCTTTGGTAATGTAGCGTGCCTCCAGCACTGAATGTTCAGCCTAGATTACAATGTGAGTTCAAAGTCCTGAATTACAACCCCTCTTACTTAGAAGAGGTGAGGTTGCTACCAACTGACTGACACCTAAAAGATCAGTTGAAGTGGAACCAAATTGGTGAAGGAAAAATAAACAATAATCAGACAATACCAGCGCTGGGTTACTTGCTGCAGTAGCATTACCAGAAATCAGACAATACCAATACCTTGGGACGTCCTCCTGACATGAAAGGCGCTGTACAAATGTAATTTATTGTTGTTACCTGTGGGCTTCTTGAAGCTGGACTTGTGGTGGCAACAGGACACATGAGAATCTCCCTCAGCTCAGATACCAAGTGTGCTTCCCGATTCCTCGCTGCTGAACTTGACTGGTAGCCGTGGAGTAAGAGGGACATCCTGACTGTGGTGTCTCATACATCTCTCTCTGAGATACAGGCGACGCTTCTGCTCTTAATAACATTTGCCTCTCCGCACGTTCTGGGAATTCTGGAAGTGTTATTTGCTTCGTGTCTTGCCACGCACTGCACTTTGGATGCTGGATTGTCATGTCAGTCGTCTTCTCTTCTTGGGCAGGTAAATGGAGTTGAGGTGCAGATCACCCATGATCTCAATGAATGGTGGAACAGGCTCGGGCGGCTGAATGGCCTACTCTTGTTCCTATGTTCCCATGTTCCTCACCTGCTTTCCATCTTGAAGACGGTTCAGGCTGGGGGCAGGATATCCTTCAAATCATCCTCAGATGTTCAAGTTATCTCTGTGCATGTGAAAAAAAGGTCAAATACTATTTGTAGAGACAAATAAAGAAACCCCTTGGCAAAACGATAAACCAAATAGCTGCAACATTATTCACCACTACACACCACTGCACAGAGATATATTTTGAGACAATGAGGCAGATAATAGGGACAGTAAACAGGATATGCGTGCTGCTCAACAATTTCTGATATATAATTAATTTCCATATCTCTGTGTAACAAAACAAATATTCTCATTTCAGTAACATGTTATTATCTTTACACATATAGGCAGGCTTTAGCAAATTGCATGCTGGCGATATTCACATGCGTCAGACTTACTTGTGAAGTCCTGCAGTGTAGTGTTCTTATGAGGCCTGGTCAACCCACGACTGCTTGTGGGACACTGCTGTGCGCAATTGGCTGCCATGTTTCGCCTACACAGTATATTCTGCGAAGCACTTCGAGACATCTCGAAGACGCGACGCCATTGGCTCCCTATCCTTCAGAGGATACAGTTCAACATCCTGGTCCTCACCTACAAAGCCCTCCATGGCCTCGCCCCACCCTACCTCTGCGACCTCCTAACCCCCTACCAACCCGCCCGTTCCCTCCACTCAGCCGGCTCTGGCTGCTCCACGTCCCCCGACCCACTCGCTCCACCATTGGCGGGAGAGCCTTCAGCCACTCAGCCCCCAACCTCTGGAATTCCATCCCCCAGTCACTCCGCTCAGCCCCTCCTTTGCCTCCTTCAAGTCCCGCCTCAAAACCCTCCTCTTCGACCGCGCCATCGGCCACCCCCCTTCCCCCACCCCCCCCCACCCGACCCCAGCTCGGGTCTGAAATGCTATACTTTGTCCAGCGGCTTGGGATGTCCTCCCGACGTGAAAGGCGCTATACAAATGTAATCTTGTTGTTGTTGCTAAGGCGCTATATCAAATGCAAGGATGATTATTATTATTACGTAACAACACCTCATCTGCTTGACGTTCTATGAAGTCAGGTCATGTGATTAGCAAAGCCTCCTATATCAGTAGAAACCATTAGAAATTTACAGCACAGAAGAAGGCCTTTGGGCCCATCGTGTCTGTGCTGCTTCTTTGAAAGAGCTACGTGTTCAGTAGATTTTACCTGCCTTTTCCAGTCATACATTAAAGATCCCATGGCGCTGTTCGAAAAGAGAAGGGAGTTTCACTCTCTCAGTGTCTTAGCTAACAATACCCCAAATGAAAAACGGATCATTCACTTCATAGCTGTTTGTGTGACATTGCTTTGTGCACTCATCTACAAATACATACACTTTGCAGTATATCCTGTTAAGTGCTTTGAGATGTCCTGCTGATTTGCTAAGGCACAGTATCAAATGAAAGGGATATTATTGTAAGCCCCTGCAAATTATTCCTGTCTGGAGCCCATTTCTGGTTACCATATTGACAGTTAGCACATCTTGGGACTGGAGCTCCGAGAAACAGGCATTTGACAGTTTAATCTGTCCGTAAAATAAGTCCTCATTTCCATACTGTGGTGGAATCCATCACATGCACAGCTGAATTAAGTGGTTGTGAGTTCATATCTCACGTAATTGACAAGGAAATTGAGGAATAATGGCTGATTGTTGGGCCTACAAAGCACTGTAACATTTGGGACCGAGGCCCTGACTGGCCTGAAAAAAGATGCAAAACACATTCCACACAGTTGATCTATTCCTGGTAGCAACAGCCCCATTAAATAACTCACCAACGTGCCAGCATAGCGCAATCTTATCTGCACAGCTCCATCTGCAACTGCGTTCAATATTTCTGGCAACATCCATCGGTTAAGCTGCGGAAGTATTTGAATTATTAACAATAATAGTAATAATAATAATCATCCTTGCATTTGTTATAATGCCTTATCACATAGTAGAAAGGTCTCAAAGCTCTTCACAGAATATACTGTAAAACAAATTGACTGTATATTTTGTGGGCAAATTAAGCTGTACCCAGTTATTTACAAATGGAGTTACAAAACAGATGTGTAATTTTAGGTGAATTGTTTTACCTTTCCAAATAACAATTTCAACTAAATAAAAATCACCTGTTTTCTTTTGTTTTAAAAAAGTCCAAAAATAGTGTTTTTCATAATCCTGTGAAAGTTTAGAATTTACTTGTAACCACTGGTTGCCAAGCTAGTTAAAAAAAACTTGCATTTCATTATAGTTCCTTTCACATTGGGAGGATGTATCGAACTGCATCATAGGAGTTACTGTAAAGTGTAGTGACCATGTATTTTGTATGTGTACATGGCGGCCAATTTGCACACAGCAATGTCCCAAATAGACATTCTGTAGAATTGTTGCCCAGGACACAGGGAGAAGCTCCCTTTACTTTCCTGTATTTTTGTGGGATCTTTAACATATAATACAATTCCCATTTATATTCCACCTTTCATGTCGAGCGTGTGCCCTAAAGCACCTGAGCTGACACCCGAGTTGGGTGGGAGCCAGGTGGTTGAGGAGGGGAAAGCTGATCCAAATTGTGGTCAAAGGGATATGTTTTGATATCCACCTGAACAGGAAAGTATCTCAATTTAACATCTCACTGAAGGGCAGCATCTCCAACAATGGAGAACCCCTGGCACTGTGTTGGTGCATCAGCCTGGACTGTGAGATCAAAGTCTGAATGTGGGCTTGAACCCATAACTTTGTGACTGAGGGGAGAGAGTGCTGCCAACTGAGCCACGCTGAGTCTTATTATTAATAATAATAAGAATAATCCTTGCATTTGCCATAGCGCCCTATCTTCTCATTGAGACATCTCAAAGTGCTTCACAGAATATATTGTAAAGTGAAATGTGTATTTTGTGGGCGAAACCCAGCAGCCAATTGCACACAGGAGTATCCCACAGTCGCGGATTGAGTTATCACATTTTTTTTTGAAGGAATTATTACCTCCTGAAGGCAGTCTGCCAATTAACTAACAACCAGGTTCCTACCTACTGCAAGGTAAACAGAGGCATGTGGAGTAAGGAAACTTGCCTAAGGTGTAGCCCTGCCCGGGCATCGAACCGGGTCCTTCCGCTTGCGAGGCGAATGCTCTAACCACTATGCTATAGGATCCCATTTATCAAGATTATTCAGAAAAGGAAGGAGATATGAGTCTGGTGACCTAACATCTGAGGTGAGAAAATATTTGAGAGCAATATCAATTAGAGAGACGTTATCAATTCCTAACTAATGATTGTAGAGCCTATAAAAATAAGTCAACGTGGATTTAAAAGCAATGTACTACAGACATACTTGACAAGTCTAATGGAACTTGAAGGGATTTTTTTGTGGAATGTCCTGCCTGGGTCCAGTGAATGGATCCATATTGGGTTTTAAGAGAAAACTAGATAGATATCTAAAGAGGGATAATGTGCAGGGATATGGGTGGGGGAGGCATGAGGCAGTGAAAGGATTGCGCTTTCAAAGATGAGGATGCCTCCTTCAAGGCCCATCTCAAGGCCTTCCTCTTCAACTGTGCCTTCGGTCATCCTTTCACCCCCACTCCCCTTGCCCTCAACCCCACTTGACTCCGACCCCCAGCTCAGGTGCAAACCCTTCACTGTCCAGCATCTTGGGACATCCTCCCAACTTGAAAGACGCTATATAAATGCAGTTTTTTTGTTCGATGTTGTCACATCTGCTTCAGATGTAGAAACAAAGCATGCCAAGTTATTGTAGGAACTGACACAATAATAATATAAATAATAATAATAATATTACAATAACACCAAGAGGCGCTTCTCTTTGTAGTTGGAAAATTTTTCTTTGACTTTTTCTGCATTGTATGTTTAACAGGATGCTGTCAGCACATCAGATTGCTCGGATCATTCGCAGAGCTAGGACACCTGTCTGTCTGAAGGTATTTAATCATAATTTGCTGTTCAATTCAATAATGTGAAATAAGGAATCTGAGGCGATTACAATTCTTTGATCCAATCTACAAAGCAACAAAGAGCAATTTCTTCAGCGAAAAGTTACATTAATCACAATTTGACAAATAGACAAAAAAAAGTATGTTAATTGATAGCCTTTTTGAATAGTTTATGAAAATAGACAAGATAACAGGTTATACTATCGGCCTGGCTCAGTTGGTAGCGCTCTCACCTCTGAATCAGAAGGTTGTGGGTTCAAGCCCCACTTCGAGACAGCACAGTGCTGGGGGAGCGCTGCAATGTCAGAGGTGCTGTCTTTCAGATGAGACGTTAAAATGAGGGCCTTCTGTGTCTGTTCAGCTGTACATTAAAGATTACTCAAGAAGAGAAGGGAATTTCTCCCAGTGTGCTGGCCAGCAATCACCCAGAAAAATAGGTTGTACACTTCTTGGCTGTTTATGGGATGTTGTACGTGACTCCACATACGTGGAGTCCTGTAGCTCAGTGGTTAGAACACTCGCCTCACAAACGAGAGATCTGGGTTCGATTCCCGGTAGGGTGAAACCTTGGGTAAGTTTCCTTACTCCACGTGCCTGATAATAATCCCTCAAGAAAAAAGAAACAATAATAATTTGGTCACTTCAATCCACGACTGTTTGTGGGACACTGCTGTGTGCAATTGGCTGCCGCGTTTCGCCCCCAAATTGCAGTCAATTCACCTTACAATATATTCTGTGAAGCACTTTGAGGCGGCTAGAAGGCATGAAAAGCGTTATATCAAATTCAAGGATTATTATTTAAGTCACTGCGCTACACAGTAAATCTTGTGAAGTGCTTTGAGGTTTGACTTAATAAAGCTGTGTATCAAATGCAAGGATTATTATTGTTACACTGGGAGTTTAGTTTACTGATTTGCTGATAATGGTAAATCTTACAAAGAGCAATACCTTATA